CCATCGATCTAGTGCCGACCATTATTTTTGTCTGTGTTCTGTCACTTGTGCCGGTACCTTAGTTCAGTGACTTGTTTAGTTTATGTTGAGACACTTTAGTTTAGGTTTGGTTTTGTCAATTGCTTACTTGTTTTAATAGGTTATTTACTGTGTGTTATGTAGATATTAATCCTATTTTGTTTTACCTACTTTGTCACCTAAATAAATTACCATTCTACCATCTTGGTTATTTTGTTGCTTCCTCACACCTAGCTGAGCCGGGTCGTAACAATATTAAATACAGTCTGATACATGCATTAAATTAAATTAATTATTTCCATTATCAACCCGACAGACCAGTTGTAAGCAGTAGAGTTGCCACAGGACGTGTCCGCAGCAGTGTGGTTTCACAGGCGCAGTTGACTGCTTAAACTAAACTTTACACGAAACTTTGACTCTTAAAACCCACATGTGACAACACAGAACCATCAACATCTCGCCTCAAATTGCATTAAAAGTGACATTTGTGTCTTAATTTGTTCGTATTATAACTTTTAAAGCTATTCACGGACCGCCATCTTGGTTTGCTTCGGCTGCCGTGAGACGCGCATGTTTGCATTACAAGCTGAGCGGCACAACTCGACAGAACACCGGATTTGAATACGGCTTTGCTTTGCGCAAAATCTAAGATCTTGGAGGCAACAGAGTGTTGCTTGCATGTTTTCAATACAAATCGTAGGTAGAAAGTCCCACTATTTACTGTGTTTTAAATGTTAGCTACATTTGTGGATCAGGAGATAGGGTTCTTCTACAATAAATTGGTTACACAAGACCCTGCAGTGGAATCATGACGTTGTTAAACCCTGGATCAACAACCTGTTCTTTGTAAATTGATATCACTTTTATAAAATGATAAAAGCTGCACCAATAACAATAACATATAGAGAAATTAAATGGGTGACTAACCTGTCAGCAGGTTAACCAGAGTCCGATGATGGAATGGTGCCTGCTGTTGAGTTTTGCATACATTTCTAATGAACTATTTCCACAGGTGTGGGACCAAACCCCAGCTTTTTCTTGTGAGCTGTTTACAGATCAAGCCAATGTGAATGTATTAAAAAAAGACATGCATGATTAAGAGAATAACATAAACTATGCTAGACAGACTTAAAACGGTAAAGTCTTGAATTTATTTGGTCATGGTTGGGTTTCATAAGGTGCTGCTCATCCTGACAATCCCTTATTCCAAAATACAAGCATATACAAATATTAAACACAAAATCCGTCTCACGACCACTTTTAAAGACCAAACTGAAAATAAATAATGCATATTATGTGTTATTTTATTATGACTAATACAACAGCTATATATACAGATGCTTCGTTTACCCCACAATAACAAATGTAACATCGCACAAACATTGATATTGATAGAATTTGTCTTTTTTAATAATCCTCTCCTTTTTGCACCACCCCCATCCTGATTACTATGAGTTTACGTGGAACTTTCAGATCCTGCAGAAGCTTTTACCTTCCTCCAGACAAGATAGTCCTGATCCATACATGCCGAGCAATAATATCTGCTCGTAACAGGTTGCCTATACTTGGAATAATAAAGTATTCTTTTACCTTAACCCTATGACAAGAAAACAAGAGTACATGAAAGTATTGACCAGGCCCTGACTTGCTTAGCTTCTGAGATGTAACGAGATCAGGCTTTGGCAGGCATGTTTAGCAGCAGTGGAGTCATCTAACAACAGGTCGGTAGTTTTCCACCACGGTGCAGAAACATCAGTGGCAGGACCAGACTGCTGGGCAGATTGAGCCAGAGCGTGATCATTGCCAAAATGCACGGATTAGAACTACCTAAAATACACCAGACATTTATTGCCACAAACTGCAGCATCCTCCCAAGAAGAACTCCTAATATGGCCGTGATGGTAATAATCGCTGACAGTTTTGATTGGCCAATCTTTTTCTTGTTACCGCCCCCTTCCCCAGGCCCTGGACGAAACAGAACGCAGAGAGCAGAAACGCTACAATACATCACAGGCACAAAAGCGATTAGATTTAAAAGCAAATATGCAATCATTTTTGCCAACGCATTGATTAAAATTGCAAGTAAAGCCGTCTGACTGAGGCCTACAACCTAGCCAACCCCAATTAGGATGTTGCGAATGATGACTCCGCCCCTTTGCTTTGAACGCAGGTAAGTGATTGGGTGAACCACGGCCAGGTAACAAGCTTGACACGTAAGGCAGTGAAAATACGTCTGCATAGATAGGCTCAGGGTAATTATGAAATCCCAAGTGATGACAAACTCAGACCTTCCGGTGCGAAGTCCATACAAGTACGAAACCGATCTGAAAATCATCAGTATCGCCAGCGCCATCATGTGGAAGGTGAAGACATCGGAGTGGCTGAACGTAGAATGACCCTGTTTCCTCCATTTTATGAAGGCGACAACAAGGACGGACAGGAAGAGGGGGGAAAAGAGACAGTATGTTGCAAACCAGACAAAGAATAAAACTTGGTCCGAGTAGTCAGTACAAAGGATCAACGTGCTGGAAAAATTGGCCCTGTCCATCCTGACAAAAAACACGCAAGAAAAAATAACTTAAACTATATAGTAGAATCGATAATGCGGTTATTCATTGAATATGCTCTCTCTGACCTTTTCTACTTAAAGCTGGAGCACCTAAAACTTGAACCACTACTGTGATAAAGCTTTCTCTCAAAACAAAGGTTGGATTTGTTGTATATTTTAAATATAGACTAAAGGCAGATGTGAATTTGATTGACCCGGAATTGAACTCTTGTCTCTTTCCCAAGCAAAAAGACCTGTGCCCTCAGGGATTAAGTCACAAGGACACAGGATAAGCAGACGGGAATTATAAAAAGATATTGCCTTTGAACAAGGCGAATTATTAACGTTCGATAATAAACATTATCTGCTGACAGAGCAAAAGTCCCTCACCATCAGGCGGAAAGGGAATTCACCAACAGCATTCTAACGCCTCCCAGTGGACAAGGGACGTCAGCACACCCGGAAAACTCCATCCTTGGACGCATATGGATGACGTCATCGGAAGTCTCTCGTATATGTGCCCTCAGGGGGGGGTTTTTGAGGTCAGACAGGACAGGGGCATCGTACAGGGAGAGAGCAGGCATAGAATAGGAGCACTTTTGTTGAATATTCTGTATCTGATTGTAAAGATAATTAAATGCAGATGTTAACCTTGGAGAATCTTTAGTCTGATTTCTGTACCAAATTGCGGACACGTCAGCCAAAGGGAATTATTGGCTACAGATTCTATATAGTTGTCACAAGCATGTACCACATCATATCAGCTTTTTCAGACAGAAACATGAAAAAGAGAGAATCACCCTCACTCAAATGAAATAGTGTCTCTTTCTTTCATGTAAAGTCCTAAGTTTGTGGTGGCCTGATGCCGCTACAATTTGTACTTTTTCCTCTCTCTGTTGGTACTAACACAAATATGAAATATGAAACAAAAGTTAAACCCCAGCCTTAAAGTGGTTCTCACCCCCGCTCCTCGGAGCTTACGTCACTCACATTTCCTGTTCAAATCTTCCTCTAAATGGGCGTAGCCTGGAGGACTAAAGGGGGCGTGAACGAGACTGGGCCGTTTACATTGCTCTGGGCGGGGGGCTGCTGACGTCAGGTCCAACTTGCAGACGTCAGGTCCAACTTCTGTGCCAGTGTTGGCGCTAGATTCAAAATTCAAATGTAGTAATACAGGTCGCCAGCAGATGGCGCCTCACAGACGGTTTTAGGCAGAAAGTTTAACTTTCAACTAATTCGCACCAAAGTGACAAAATTATGACAAGGATATGTAGACAACACTATTGGACACTCATTTATACCGTTTATCAGCAAAAAAAAGTGGATTTGAGGGTGAGTTGTCCTTTAACCTTTTCCACAAAAAAACACTTAAAGGACAACTCACCCTCAAATCCACTTTTTTTTGCTGATAAACGGTATAAATGAGTGTCCAATAGTGTTGTCTACATATCCTGGTCATAATCTTGTCACTTTGGTGCAAATTAGTTGAAAGTTAGACTTTCTGCCTAAAACCGTCTGTGAGGCGCCATCTGCTGGCGACCTGTATTACTACATTTGAATTTTGAATCTGGCGCCAACACTGGCACAGAAGTTGGACCTGACGCCTGCAAGTTGGACCTGACGTCAGCAGCCCCCCGCCCAGAGCAATATAAACGGCCGAGTCTCGTTCACGCCCCCTTCAGTCCTCCAGGCTAGGCCCATTTAGAGGAAGATTTGAACAGGAAATGTGAGTGACGTAAGCTCTGAGGAGCAGGGGTGAGAACCACTTTAAAATATGTTACAATATTAGTTTATATTTTTCTTTTCTTTTGATCTTACCTGAGTAGTTGCTCTACATATGATCAGTCGTGTACTGGCAGCTCCATAGCTATGCAACAATACTCAAATTCTCTTCACGTCTCATTACTTTCTTGTTTTCATATGTCTGTGGGGATCAGGCTTTTACAGTCATGTTTAGCAACAATAGACAGAATAAACCAGGCATATATACGTTTAATAAACCTAATACTTGTCTTTGCAATAATCTTAGCGTGAATCTTTGTGTGTTATGTCATCACTTAACTGCCCCCAATGACTAATGAACACAAAAGGCCATAATACCCTTTATTTCTTATTGTAAGTGAAATAGTTTGGATTGAAAATAAAATGTATGCGGTATGTGATTGTACACGTTGTCAGCATGTAACCACTTCTATCACCAGTTTGATTGTTTACAATGCTATTTGTCAATTATCTGCAAGAACAGCCATACATTTGTAATTTGTTCTTCTTGACGAAAAATGTTGGAACATAGTTTAAACTACTTTTGATAATATTTTTGCCCCAATGACATTTACAAAAGTAGTGGCAATGGGAAGTCTGTTAATACACATTCAAAAGAAGAAATATTTAGAAAGTTGATGGCTGAACAGGTTCTGCCTCCTTCACAGTCCTTCTAACTGTGACTGCCTTTCTGCTTGGAGGTAACTTCTATGGGGAAATCCGGGGGGGATGACAGCAGAGTCCCAGAGTTACCCACTGACCGTTGAGCATACACCACCCACACCCCGAAACCTGGGAACAGCGGCTGGGTGAAGGTCTCCCTGAAGGTGTAGAGGTGAGATGCTCTCCCCTCATCCATGATCTCGTAAAAGGACAAAATCCCGGCGTCGTAGTCCAGAAAGACTTCCACCACCCCCGAGATGATGCCTGCTGTCCTCTGGCCGATCTCTCCTGCAGTGCCATAAAGATATCGAAGATGTGTTTATATATGTAATTATAGTAGCAGGGTTTTTCACTGTTGCACCGTTGCATGGGAATGTGTCAGGTTGAACATTTGCTTAAAGATCTTCCAATTTGATATTATTTTTCATTAAAATTATATTACTATCTACTTGACATCTTACTGGAGTGTTCGTCTCCTGTCAGTGTTGGTCGTAGGTTTATGGGCCAAAGAGATGTCTACCCAGTCGTACCAGAGCACCTCAAAGTAGCAGCGGCCGGTCAGAGGCGTGGAGCCCAGGACCTGTGTGCTTTGGGGGCGATACTGGTGGATGGGGTACGTCTCTGTCTCGCCGAGCAGAGTGGCTGTTCGATTATCGTCTGACAAATGCAGTCGTCTGTGGGCAGTGGTCCTGTCCCAAGTGAGAGACACGAAATCTGAGGGAATAAAGGATCAATGCACTAAGAGACATTACTGCAGTTTTTTTGTGGGATTTGAATATGATCAATTAAACATGGTGTGAAAACGGTTAGTAATACTTTTGTATTTGACAGAGAATAATTGGTTTTTAATGAGGAAAACATAGTTTTGTTTGTCTCGACAGAAATAGTCTTGTTTAGGGCTCTACTTCACTTAAAAAGCAGATCTTCAGATGGAACAGAGGACAAACAGAACATGCGAAGACTAGTGATAGAATCAAGCCGTTTTGAGAGCGAGACTTGTGGATTCAAAGTTATGTATTAAGATGTTTCCCTTCTCTCCTCGGGACCGACTCCGGAGGGTCTGAAGGCCTGGATACAGGAAGAAAAAAAGTTTGAATTTAAACAATTCAATACCTTATTCATTCATTCATTCATACCTTGTTCATTTTGATCATCTTAAAGAAGACAAAACATGCAACCTTCGCTTTTAGTAATCGTTTTTTTTCTCTTGTACACACAGTAGTTTTAAAATGTATCACGCATGTGTGAGTCATAAACATGTTATACTAGGACTCTTTCTTTAGGTCTATCTACCTAAAGAAACAACTGTCAGAGTAAACACCAGGCTCACATGTTACTTTGGTCCTGCGGAAGTAGAACCACTGCACAAGACCAGGAGAACCAGATTTTTGCCAATAGATGCTATTACATGCAACAAAAAACGCTGGATCCAGACAGTCATCCAGATCACTAATCATTTGTTTTGGTCTGGACTCTGAAGCCGAGCTCTGATCCCAAGCTTGTGCTGTATCCAAGTTGAGTCAACGCATCTTTCTTCCGTCTCTGCCTTCAGGATCAGGGAAAACACAGCTAATGTAAGGCAATAGAACTTTATCCATCCAGCACTTCCCTATTGGGCTTCATTGAACTACTGGGTTGGCATTGTCCATCTATATACAGTCTATGGTTAAAAAGTTTTAGCAGGGGGCGCACTTACGGTGGAAGAAAAGTGTCCACAGAGCACATGAGAGCCATGAGCAGGAGAAGTAGGTTCAGTTGAGTCATGGAGATCCACTGCTTTGCTTGAACTACATCAGAACATGAAATGAGCAGAGAAACTAAAAAGAGATTCAGGGGAGTATTTCACGGCCTTACTGTTTCAACCATAAACAAACACAATAATAATAATCTTAACAGTCTTTGCTTTCCAGTCCAGTGGAATTATTTTCTCATTTTTTTGTGAGAAATTGCTTGCCATGTTATATACATTATTTTCTAGTTATGTTTGCAGTAAAACCTTTCCCCCACTCCTCCCAATCACTCCTTCAGATTTTGAAACAGCATACTATTCTCAAAGCCTATCTTTCACCCAATTCAATTTAATCTTCAACTGATGGGAATTACTAAAATGAGTAAGCAAAACAAATACATTACGTTCTATGCATCCAAACATGAAATAGAAAGATACTTGAAACTCACCCTTGACAGCAGTTGATCTACACCAGACACTGATCTGTGAAAGAGAAACTTGTATGGCTTTGCACAGCTTAAAGTCTTCGGCGTCATTGATTGATTGATTGATTGATTGATTGTTATTTATTTGAGCATTTTGCAAACATTTTTTCATTATTACAAGATTACACTGTTGTAAAGTAGCTCAAAAGGAATGGGGGTAGGCACTCAATTAGTGCCTACCCCCATTCCAAGTGATCGCTTTCAGCTGCAGAAAATAACCGTTGGCGTCATAAACCAATAAAACTGTGGAAAAAGATTTAATATTGAGTTCGAACATTTCCTGCAACTTCTTCAATACGTTTGAGAGTGCTGTTGCTGATTATAATTACTATTGTCAGCTTTTTAGAATGATCAGTTTATTTGTTTTGTTTGTGTGGATGAATGTGTTTCTGCTGCTACTGGACACCTGAATTTCTCCTACAGGGGATCAATAAAGTATATCTATCTATCTATCTATCTATTTCTAACCCTCTTGCAACATTGTTCTTGATCACACTAATACAGTACGTGGAACTTTTGCAGATACGGCCCCCGCCCTCCATCCATTTTCTTCCCCTTTGTCAATTTCTTGGGCGGCCAAAAGCATAAAATAGTTTCATGAGCTCACTGCTCTTTGTCGTCCCACTGCAGCTGTGCCGCATCAGCAATCAGTCATCACACTAAGGTTAGCAGCACTGCACAGCCAATAATTCAAGCTTTCATATTGTGCAGCAACCCTCCTCCTCCCCATCACAATGTCAGCAGAGTCGTATGTGCCTAATGCAGTTACAGACCAACACACCTAATTCCAATAACCCCTTTGTCTGTTGAATCTCTCCTTGATTCTTTCTGTTGGGGCAAAAAAAAAAAAGGTTCTCTAAATTTAAGGTGCTATTGATAGGTCCCTTATCACCGCCGCTGCTTCCACACCGCAGAAGCGCACAGCGTTTGGAGTGCTTATAATTGGCCGCTGCTGTAATCCTCTTTGGGCTCTGCTGACTCAAACATTTCTCTAATCTGTCCAACTGCCCCAGTCCCGTGCCCCAGTGGAGGCTGCTCTCTGTGAGGAGCTGACCTCTCGTCCCCTCTTTCATGAACATTCAGCTTCAGCTTTGACTATATTGCTAAATGCTTATACATGACAAGAAGTGACTCTGGCAGATTAAAAAACTGAATCAATCACTAAACCCAACGCAGAGACTGAAAGTGGACTGTCTGTGTCCTCAAGTGGTTCCCCAAGAGGGGGTCTTGAGACAATACCTGGGACTTGAGACATTATATTTATATCATAATCATATCACAAAAATATGTGTGAAATATTTGAAATCAGAGCACAATAAATTACTAAAATAAAACAGTACAGGTAATTTCATATGATTTGCCACTTAAAATCTAGGTTGAAATGCTTGTCTCATAAATACATGTTTTTTGCTTCACTTTTTGTGAAATCCAAACACACCATTCTACTCTATATTATGAGAAAACATTTTCTTTTACACACTTAGAGCTGATTGGTCGGTGTCTTGTCTATTGCTCTGAAAAAACGGATCTTAAGATTTGACAGGCCAAACAAATAAGCATGTGAAATTTAGTGATAGAACCAATGTTTGCGGTTTCAAAGTGTTAACTAAATGAACAAATATATGTGCCACCTGGACAATGGTGGTAAAGCAGTGATTACAACATAACTAACTCTGCACAATGTAAACTTATCAATGGATTTGATAACTTTTATTGTTTTATGTTTTTTTTTTTCTTTTGTGTCTCTCAGTTTATAGCAGAAACTTATGAAAAAAATAATGTATCAGGTTGTTCTGTTGTCTGTATTGTCTGGCTGTTTGTCCGGTGTCTTATCCTTCCTAATCTTTTCATCCGTTCATTTGGAGACGCTGCTCCGGTTTCTCTGCGCTGGAAAAGTCTTTACACTGTGATCGTTTCTTTTTTCACATCAATGGGAGTTTTAACATGAGGAAACTGTAAGGAAAAGGTGAGTGCATTTCAAGATATGAGAAAAACAGTGTTGAAGAATGCTATGTATTTGATATAAGCTTAAGATTTAGCATTCGTGTCAAAAGATTTAAAATAAACTCAAAAGGAAATCTGGTAAATTCTTTGCTTGACGTCCGTTTTGAATTATGCCCGTAAATTATTAAGAATAATAATATATATTTGGCCCATTTTGAAAAATGTTGTCCTTGAGGGAAAAAAATCACAGCAGTGTTGAGTGCCTTGCTAACATTTCCGATATAAATAACATTTATACAGCATAATATCCTTCAAGATTTCAAGCAAATTTCAACTGTGAAACCTATTGTCTTTATTTATTTATTTTTCCAAGAAAGACACTTGATGTGTTTCAATGGAAAGTCTAATTTGAAAGTAATATCAAGCACCTCAAATAAAAATTAATGACTTGTCTTATTTTTGATTATAAGCTGGAGTGCAGAACCAAATTGTTGAGTAACCAGTCCCCAGATTGATTTTATTCCATTGATCCATTATTGAAAGTTAGGAACCTCAGCTTTCACTGCTTCAACAGATGCATCATGTTTGTTCTGTAATCTCTGTACCGGTGTTTCATTTTCAGACTAATCATGGCCAAAGTGTCCCCCTTAGCCCCACCCGCCATCGTCGTCACAGAGATGGAGCGGCCGAAGTGGAGCGAACGGTGAGAAAACAAACTGTGTTGTTAAAATGTTGAAGACTCGACCTTCACTTCATTCCTCTTTCATTATTGTTTCAGGTCAAGTCGAAAAGCCGCCATTTTGTTCAACGTCAATAACAGCAACAACAACGACGATCAAAAGTGAGTGAGATGCTATGCATTTTTATTATTACTATATTGATATTGATAAAGCCCCCACTGAAAGATCAAGGCTATGCTCACACTCAGAGAGCAGCCGTCCTCCTGTGGACTCACCACCTGCAGAGGGTCAGTGAGGGGCTGGTGCTATGAGACTTGGGTGGCATCTCTGACTGCCACCCCCCTGACCCAGAAATGGATTAAAGGATAGAAAATGGATGGATGGATGGATGATATTGATATCTGGATATTGAATTCTCCACAAGTTATCTATAGAATACAGGATGTGTGTAATAGGCACGTTTTGCAAACTCGTTTGTTTTTACAGGATGTTGATTCTACACACAGAGAATTCAGAGTTTTCTCAGTGTGTTTTCAAAGTATCCGTCTGTGCCCACAGTGTGATTTTAAAGGTTATGATCATAAATTCATCTGGGGAAAATGCTTTTTCTTCATAATTTGAGTTGTGAAATGTGGACTTGATAATAATGTGTGTAATGTGTGATCTCAGAGAAAAGGAGGAGGAAAAAGAAGAAACCAAAACATCAGCGAAGAATGAAGAGAAGCAGAGGAAGAAGGGGGAGAAGAAGGAGAAGAGAGAGCAGAAGGAGTGAGTGTTCAGCAGTAGATAGTATTGACGGCGGTAGAGAGCAAGTGGTGAAAAGGTGGTACTGCACCCTAAAATCCCCAGAAAGGGGACGGCGCTCTTGAGCAAGTGGTGAAAGGTGTTACTGCACATTGTTTTTCAATGAGTTAGCTTCTGTTGGCCTGTGTGTGTGTGATAATGTTTCACAGTTGTCTAAAGTGATTTATGATCACGGTGTATTCTAAAACAAGCAGTTAGGTCAATAAACTAATTAATCTACAGGTCCTCCCTGTTAACGACACGTGTGTGACTTAAACATATGTTTTTATCTAATATACAGTCTATCTTATACTGTGGTTTGCTGTCGAATTATCGGTGGCTCTATGCCATTTTCGTGGGGCTTTATCATTTTCCAAATTCATTTGTGTTGAACCAGATAGTGCTGTCACTTCTTCTCTCAGACCGTTGGGAGATAAATGTACATTCGTAATCAAATTGGTATTTATCCGTACTAGGAGCTATCTATTTTTAGCAGGTTTCTCTGGGGTTAGTCCACGTTTACAACGGTGTTTTGATTCTCTAATCTGTTGCTGACAATCGACAGCTTCTTATAATTCTGCAAAACTACCTAAAGATCTACTTTTTTGCTAGTACCCAAATTCACCAAAACTGTCTTTTACAATGTTTTTGAATCTTGTTGGTTCTAATCTATCTCATTAATTCATAAGACTAATTATCTAGGCTACACTTCATGTACTTTATCTACTTTGGAAGTAATATCTTTTGGATTTAATATTGAAGGGAAATGGTCTTTTTTACCGTTTGATATTAGCCTGTCTAAAATTAATCTCTTATTTTTGAAAGGCATCTATCTATTCTACACTCTATTGTGACTCCAAATCTTGGTTGTTGTTTGAGGCCAAAGCATATTCCCAATTTTTGAGTCTGTTTGTATACATTGCATTGGCAATAGATGTTTTTTCATTGGATGCGTTTTGTCTGGCAAATCACCCTATTTCTATGTATTGTATTTCTGTCAATTCCAAAAAAAAACAGCACAGTCGTTCTCACCATTATTAAAGACATACATCTAAATCAAGTCTGCCTGAAAGGGTATTTAACTATTTTAAGTTCTCTACGATTATAAGGGCTATGCATTTAATTATTTAATAAACAAAAGCACATTATGGCTTCTGTCCGGGCTTATAACTGTTTAAAGAGTTTGTCCCAAACTTAATAGTGTAAATACAATCAGCTGTTTTTAACTAAACAATAACATTTACCTGTTCTCCAATGAGCAGCTCAGAGCTGCGTCAAGAGCAATGTTATTTTTTTTTTTTTTTTTTTTTTTTTATTTTTATTTGAGACTATTTTTAGATTTAACTATTGTGTTAAAAGCATGTCATTCTTTTTTTATGTGTCGCATTTTAATATACTCTATATAAACACATCGGCACTAGTTCCTACAGATGTGGAAAACAGAACAACATCTAATGATCTGACTCCATTTGATTCCTTTTTACCTTTAGTTATAAGAACAATTTGACCTTATTGATACTCTATTTCCACAATAGACTATTTTGAGTACTCCACTAGTCTGAACTATTATTACAGATTGTTTATCCTGACACTTTTCTGTGCGACTTTTCAACCTATATTATAACTCACTCGATCCAATGCATTATAGCTCCAGACTAATTTCATTCTTTTTATTATTTATAGTCTTATTATTATATGATCTGTTATCTTTAAGAGTTTGTGCTGTTTGATGTTATAAGCGCTAGTATTATCCTCCTTTGATTTTGCTCAACAGCTAAATTTAGATGACCCGCTATGGGCAATATGAATTGTTATTTCTTTTTGGACAACTCCGACAATTACTTAAAGGCACACCGCGGACTTTGTGGAACTCTAAAGAGTTGTCACACACCGTATGGAGTTATTTTATATGAAATATCTGGCCGAGTTATACAGCGCTGTGACACTTGCAATGACTCCGAGGGGGCTGCCCTCTTGAAATACCGCTCGCATGTTAACTTTCGAGCAGGACGGACCGTCTGCACCAGGTCAACGTGACTTGCAAGAAACACTTGCTTTACTGGCTACAGGCGTGATATACTCATGGGCTAAGGCTTTTGCTACTCATTTTTTCACCTGCTCGACTCCTGGTCATGGCTGAGGCAAGGAAAAATTTTAAACCTTCGGAGGAGGCTTAAAAGAGGAAACGCGAAAGGGATCGTTGCTTAAGCTGCATGTCTGTATTGAGCGCTGCTGTTCACCTGGTTCCTGGATGTCATCAATCTGCAAAGATGTCATTCCACGCAGCACGAGCTAGAGAGAACTCCCTCATCCAGGATATAGAAGTACCATGGTGTGGTAGATACAATGCTGCGGTCTGGAGGCTGACCATCAGCAGAGTCTCTTAGATCTGTAGGCATGTCTCTAAGTTTGAACCACACACCAGGGCATGCGTGTCTGATACTACCACTCAAAAGACACCGGTGATGGTTTGTTGAATTTGCGACAGTGCTGAGTTTGCTGGTGGCACTAGGGGCCGCTAGGCTGTCAACTTTCACCAGATTAGCGCCACCTAGTGGCCAACAATGCGAGAACTCAAGCACTTTGTCGAAAAAAAGTCAACAAACAGTCAGCCGGGTGTCTTTTTGTTGGTGTGTATTTAGACAGCATGCACTGGTGTGTGTGTTCAAACGGTAGAGACAAGACCTTCCAGATATGAGAGACTTTGCTAGTGGTCAGCCTCCAGACGCTGCTTTAGTAATTCCTAACACACTATGGACTTTAATATCCTGATGAGGGATGTTCTGCTGTCTAGCTCGTGTCTGGCGTGGAATGATCATTCTTTGCTAGTTGAGGACATCCAGGATCCAGGTGAACAGAGCGCTCATACAGACATGCTGCTTACAGCAACGGATCCTTGGCGTTTTCCTCTTTTAGCCTCTCCGAAGTTTAAAATTTTCACTGCGTTGTCCTCTGCCTATGACCATGGAGTATCGAGCCGAGCAGGTGAAAAATGAGTAGCCAAAAGCCTTAGCTCCTTATGAGTATATCAAGAGCCTGTAGCCTGGTAAAAGCAAGTGTTTCTTCCAAGTCACGTGAACTGTGTCGGGTGGCTGTAGGTCCGTCCCGTGCTCGATAAGTTACGTTATAGGCGGTATTTCAAGAGGCAGCTCCCGCTCGGAGCCTGCAAGTGTTCAAGGCATGTATTATTTGGCCCAAGTATTCATATAAAAATAACTCGTATGTGTCATACTCTTTTAGTGTCGACATAGTCAGCGGTGTGGCTTTAAGTAATTTACGGAGTTTGTCAAAATGAAATAAAATTCTATATTTGTGCCCATTAGGGTATTCTAAATTTAGTGTTGTGCAAACTTCAAAAGGGAGGAGAATTATAGCGCTCGACTATAACATAAACAGGATCTACTCTGTAAGATAAGAGATCATTTAATAATAAGATAATAAGTAGAATAGATATGAAATTAGTTGGAGATATAATGTCATTGGGAGTTCGAGGAGCTATAGGTGATAAGTCGCTAAGATGAGGGATCAGAATAAACAATAGTTAATAAATTGTTTGACGTAGTTGGAAATTAATCAATAATAGTTTATTGGAGAAATAAGTTAATCAATAATGGTCATTACATTGTTCTAATAATAAAGTAAAAAAGAATCAAATGGAGTCAGATTTTAGATGTTCTGTTTTCTCACATCCTTTGGAGACTAGTTGCAGTTGTGTTTATAGAGGAGTAGTATTAAAATGCAGACACCAGACGACAAGGCTCTTGTTAACACAATTGTAAATCTAAATAGCTCTACAATTATTAACATGTTGCTCTTGACCGCAGACCTGTGTGAGCTGACTCCATTGTGAGAACAGGTTAATATGTTATTGTGTATTACAATAGTCTGATGTTATTTACCACTATATTAAGTTTGGGGACAAACTCTTTTAAAAAACATGTGTTATTAAGGCAGCAGACAGTAGCCAGATTGTGTTTTGTTTTATATGTGAAATAAATTAATTTATGCATAGCTTATGAATGCGCTTGAGAACCGTTGTTAATATAATAGTAAAATTTCCCTTTCTATGGCATACTTGAATTTGAGATCGTATGTCTTTAATGTATTGTGAGAAACGGATGTGTTGTTTTTGGAATTGTGCGGAAATCATACTGAGAATAGTGATTTGGCAGAAACAAGAACCAGCCAATGACATAATTCATTCGTATTGCCAATGCAATTGTTTCAATCAGAACTCAAAATGGCGAATAATGACTTAGTGCTCTAATACTACAACCTGAGAATTTGGAGTCACAATGAGTGTAACAATATATGATTAGATGCTTTCAAAATATAGATGACTTATTTCTTTAGACAGGGCGTATTAATATTCAAACGTAAATAAGACCTATTTCCATTCCGATTGATTTATGTCCAAAAGTAGGTTACTTTCAAAAGTAGATAAGTTCAGGAGTGTTTAGCCTTGAGTTAATGTCAGCTTGTAGATTTTAGTGAGATAGATTAGAACCCAACAGATAGTTTCAAAAAACATTTTATAAGCATTTTGGTGAATTTTGGGTTATATAGAACAAAAGTTTGATCTTTAGGTAGTTTTTGCGAATTGTTAGAGCTGGTCGATTTTGTCTAGCAACAGATTCTAGCAGAAATCCAAAACACCGTTTGTTAGGGTACTAACCACAGAGAAACCTGCTAAAAAGTATAGCTACCTGTACAGGATAATACCATTTGTTTAACGCATGGTACATTTATCCCAAACGGTCTTTGTGAGCGAAGGAAGTGACAGCCTCCTAGGATTTTCAAACAAAAGTTGTATTTGGAAAACTGAGCATAAGCCCTACAGAAATGGCCATAGAGCACCGATAATGAGAAAGCGAAACGCACAGTTATAGATTAGATTTATTAAGATAAAAAACATATGCGTTTTATTGAATAGTGGACTCGATTAAAAGCACACGATAATCGCGAAGATCTATATTTGTAAATAGATTA